TCTGCCCCCTTCGCTGCTCGTTCTCCGTCTCCTTCTCCGAGGTGCTGCCCCCCTCACTCTCACTGTCAGACAGCTGCCGCCTAGTGGTGGGGGGCTGAACTGCAGGAGGACTGGCATCACCCCTCTGTTTCCCAGAGCCTGCCCGTCCTGGCACCACCTGCTCACTCTTCCCCACACTCCTCAGCAGCTGCACGGGGGAGGAAAGGTTAGACAGAGGAGGGGCAGTCAGGCCTGGACTGGCATCAACTCTACTGCTGGCAGATCCCAGTGAATCAGCACACAGAACTCACCCATTGTGATGGGGGAGAGCTCTGCATATATTTGAGTAGATCTGATGCCCTAAAGTCACTCTAGGTACTGAATTAAATTATTTTATATACAGAATATTTTTTGCAAAATGCATGATATTTAGCACTTTGTGGCTGTGCAACAAACATCATTACACAGACAAGCGCCCAGGATTACCCTCACAACCCTGGTATCTTACCTCCTGCTCCGCAGACTCCAGTCCTCCAGGATTGGACCAGCCCAGCTTCCCTGCCACCCTCTGAAACAGATCCCGGGTGCTGCTGTCCAGGGCTGCTGCCCGGGGTGCCCTGAGAGAGCAGAGAGACTGACCACTCACTGGCCGACTGGACCAACGGCAGCTGTTCTTAAAAAGACACAGGCACAACCACCGCCCCGCCCCCCCACCGGCATTCAAACGTTTCTTGTTTCTTTACGATGTCATGAAGTCAGGAGCTTGACTTTACTTTGCTGGAAATGCAGTAAACGCAGAATGGAGGAAACTGCGCAAGGATGAGGTCGAGCCAGAAGGACCACACATATGACCACAGCGCAGGCCAGTGGCCCAGTTGCCTCACCTGTCGTCACTGCCATCCCCCAGGGACGCTAACGGCTTCAGCTTGGGTGTGTGCAGACGGCTCAGATCTGCGGGATATAAACACAGGTACTCGCAGACAGAAAGAGACTGAATTCTAAGACGGGATTTCCACGGCCAAGAGTTAATAGAACTCTCTCCAACAAGCAAATTCTCTGTGCACATTCACAGATCAGAATAATATTTACACAGAAATTTGCTCCATTTTAGTTTCTTCTTCATGTAGCAGCTGCTCTGGTTGATGGAAAAACAGACAAACCAATAGGAAACTTTACTTAAGATAAGGAGGAATGTGTTACCTAGCACCTGCTATTGGCTCATATCGAGAAGTCTGGAGCTTACAGAAGGTCAAGTAGTTCACTCTGCCGTTGAGGTGTCTGTATCACTTTCTAATGAACTTGGAGATCAATTACCACTCCTCATAAAGCCCCAGACAGCACCACCATCATACTCACAGTCATCAAAGCTGCCATCGCTGTCAGAGCTCAGCGCCTGCTCACTGGGGCTACAAGGAGATGGAGAGAGAACAGTGAGAAAGCAGGTTCATTTCTCCATCGCAGCACTAACAGATTCCCACTCATGGGCTCTCCTGTAGTCTGAGCCAGGCCTCAACACGAGGTGTTCAGTTTACTGTGGAAGATGGGGCACCAGC